CTTTTTAATAAGAAAAATACTAGAATAGCACAGAAAAACTGGTATATGACTAGAATAATATATATTTTCTATAAGTTACTAGAATATTTTCAGACTCCTAAGAAACTACCATAAAGACCCTTGTTTAATTTTATTTTTGTTGAGATCACATCATTAATTAGGCAATCCACGTTAATAACTTTTTTGACAAGGTAAAATCGATTGTTCCCATATTTCCGGTGAGTAGAAAAAAATCATAACTTCACAACTTTCTTTCTTCGTCGTTAAACCCTTATCGTCACCCAAATCGTCTCATCTCGAACTGTCTCTAATATCGTTTTCGTCGAAAATGTCTTCTCCACAAAAGTTTCTACGCAATCGACTTCATCGCAATGTTATCTACGCAATTGACTTCGTCGCAATCTATATACGGAATTATCTTCGTTGGTATGTTGTGAATGAGTTTGATTTACGATGTGGATGAGTTATAGATTATGTTGTAACTGAGTTATTTTATATTGTGGCTGATTTTGATGTACGTTGGAATCTATTGCGACTTAGTCATAGATCATGGTGTGGCTGAGTTATTGATTATTTTGTGTCTGAGTTTGTTGTATAGTGGCTGAGTTATATTATGTTGTGCCTGAGTTTTCTTTATATTACGGCTGAGTTATGTATTATGTTGTGGCTGAGTTTGTTGTATTATGGCTGAGTTTTGTTTCTATTACGGCTGAGTTATGTATTATGTTGTGGCTTAGTTTGTTGTATTATGACTGAGTTATACTATGTTGTGGCTGAGTTTTGTTTCTATTACGGTTGAGTTGTTTATTATGTTGTGGCTGAGTTTGTTGTATTATGGCTGAGTTATACTATGTTGTGGCTGCATTTTCTTTCTATTACGGCTGAGTTATGTATTATGTTGGGACTGAATTAATTTTTCTATTTCGGCTGATTTATATATATGTGTTTTAGGATCAGATGGATACTTCTGAAGATCAAGCATTGGATTATCCTCCAAGACTTTACCCTGAAGAGACTTCTAATCAAGAAAATAAAGAGATTAATCATAATTTGCATATGGGAGAATTCCATCACATCAAAGAAGCAATAAGTAGATGCATTTAAACTGCTTACGCAAATGCTTCCTAAGTTATTGAACGAAAATATTCTTTCCAATCTACGAAAACCTAGTAAGAAGCAGTTTTCATTCTGTAGAAGGAAAGGGCAAATACCTTCCACAAAACAGCCAAGTTAGCGATTGTGGAGTGTATTCATTGAAATTCGTGGAATTCTTGGCGCTTGGCGTGACTTTTGATGAGACAAATGATAAGAATATTCAAGGTATACGGATGAAGATGGCAGTAGATATCCTCGATGAAGGAAGAAGTGGGATGTATCAGCAGTTTCTGTAGCCTTTGAACGTTTATTTGACTTTCGTTAATAATATATTTTATATAACCCAGCCGCATCATTATATAACCTAGCCGTATCGTTTCTATAAGCCAGCTGTATCTCTTTATATAACTCAACCATCCCACATATATACCCTAAAATCAAAAAAGTTTAATATAACCCAGCCATATCATTTCTATAAGCCAGCCTTAACGCTTCATATAACTCAGCCATACCACAAACAGACCCTAAAATCAAAAAAGCTTAATATAACCCAGCCGTATTGTTTCTATAAGCCAGCCGTAACACTTCATATAACTCAGCTAAACCACAGACATACCCTAATATTAGAAAATTTACTTTAAAATGTTATTAGCAATTAATATTATCAATTTTAGATGAACATATAATCAACAGAGTGTGTATACTTCATTGAATTTATAAGTTTCGAATTGATCATGATCTTGAGGTATATGTTGTCTTACAAATACTTAAAACCATATATGGCTATATAGGTGTTGAACGCACCAAATACAAAGTATACCACATAATGTTTTTCAACTGAATTTATGTAATTTCTTATATTTTATAGAGGTACCTAAACCATAAAACCTAAATCCTAAACACTAAACCCCAAATAATTAACCCTAAACCCTAAACCCTAAAACATAAAGTTATCCTAAACATAACTTAGCCGTAACATGTCAGTTACTCAGCCGCAATGTGTAAATTAATCGTGATGTTTCATATTTTTAGGCGGGAACTAAATACTTGCGAAACATTGGGTGGGCAGGAACATTACATAGCAGTAAATAAATTACAATTTATATTATTTTTTTACCATGGCCGTGGATTGATTTTAATCTATAAGTTCAAATTATCATTTTCTCTATCCTCATCCTTTTTTTATCATTGGTTAATCTTTCTTTTTCAAGGATCATAAATTATGACCATTGATTAAATGAAATCTAAAGGTCAAAAATTATTCTCTCACTTTCTTATAATTGACGGGACTTAACCGTTTCATCACTCTCTTTGACTATTTTCTTCTTCTGCAAGACGACGAATCCGATGAGAGAGGGAGCATCAGGATGTCGGATCACCATACAACAGAGAACAACGGGATGTCGGATCACCATACAGATACTGGAAGAAAGAAAGCTTCTTCTCTAACCAACCACCATCAAAGACGGTGACGACTACAATAGATCTATCTCGTATTTTAGTTTTTCTTTTGGATGATGAATCTTGAACCTGTCAGAAGCTTTTTTGGTCAACTTGGTTATAACAAAGTCGTATTATAACCATAACTCGCCTTTGATTATAACAAAACCGTATTGTAACCATAACTCAGCCATAACATATACAAAACTCAGCCATAATTTGATTATAACTCAGCTGTAACGTAGGCATAACTCAGCTGTAAAGTATGCATAACTCAGCCCTAACGTATGCATAACTCAGCTGTAATTTGATGAGTTATAACTCAGTTGTAACATATGCATAACTCAGCCGTAAAGTATGCATAACTCAATTGTAACATATACATAACTCAACTACAATTTGATGAGTTATAACTCAGCCGTAACATATGCATAACTCAGCCGTAAAGTATGCATAACTCAGCCGTAACGTATGTATAACTCAGCCGTAAAGTATGAATAACTCAGACCTAACGTATGCATAACTCAGCTATAACGTATATGAATGGTATAAGTCAGCCGTAACGTTACTATAAATCAGCCTTCAAGTGTAATTTGTTTCGCGACGTTTCGTATTTTAGGCGGGAATAAATCATTCATTCAACCCTTAACACAATATTAAAACTTTAATCTCTTCTTAAGTTTGAACCTCAAACCCTAAACAATAGAACTATAAAGCTATAAAAATTATAAATTTATCTTTTGAACATTAAATCTAATAATTTTAATTATTTTAAAGTTTAAAGTTTATGTTTAGAGATTAGGTTTATAGTTTAGAGTGAAACTCAACCGTAACGTATGCATAACTCAGTCGTAACGTATACATAAATCAGCTGTAACGTAGGCATAACTTAGCTGTAACGTATGAATAACTCAGCCATAATGTATGTGTCGGAGACTCATTGTATGAACTAAAGTTATCATATTTAGATGATGCAAAATTTGAGTCATTAAACATATAAAATTAGCTTTCAAATTCATCATCTTCTTCGAATTTTTATTTTTATTTTTTCTTATAATTTATGGAACTTAGCTTTTTCATTTCTCTCTTTAACTATTTATTCTTCTACAAGACGGCGAATCCGATGGGAGATGGAGCAGCAAGATGTTAGACCACCATACATGACACTGGAGGAGAAGAAGCTTCTTCTCAACCGACCATCATCGAAGACGACGACTGCAGTAGATCTACCTCAGATTTTTAATTTTTTTTAAAATCTATGTTTTTTAGACCCAGTTGCCGAAAAAAATAATTACCATATCTATAATATCTCAGAGAAAGATGAAGAATAAGATGAAGAAGATAGATAGAGAAGATGAAGAATGAAGAATAAAACTTTGTGTCTGTAACATAAACCCTTATTTTATATTTTCAGCGTTAGTAATGACATGGCAAGTAAGAGTTGATGACATGGAAAATCGGTAAGTCAGCCACTAAACGAACACATAACTCGGCCTAAATAAACCAACCATCAAGTACAACATAAGCCAGCTGAAACATGAATATTATTTCAGTAATTAATCTTTTGCTAATAAATCAGCCGTAATTAGGATGGAAAATTATACGTCAGCCGTATCATCAAATAAATCAGCCATCAATCGAATGATATTCTAGTAATTAATATTTCACTAATAAGTCAGCCATAATTATGCTGAGTTTATTGTTAATCCAGCAAGTTACAACTGATTAAATATAACTCAGCCGTAACAACCTCTCATAAGTCAACCGTAAATTTAATAACTCAGTCAGGCGATGTTCATTAACCCAGCCGGCGAAGCATAACTCAGCCATGTCTTAACTACAACTCAGCCGAATTTTCCAGAAATTACACCACTGATGTATAAGTCAGCCGTAACTTGTGTACGTAGGTCAGTCGTTATCACATAAATCAGTCATATTTCTGTAAGTCAGCCATCACTAACGGCTGACTTATATTCTTAAGTCAGTCAATTCCTCTTAAGTCAACAGCGTTGTTTAACTCAACCACAACATAATAATAACCTAGCCGTAATGACATCTGTAGCGCTTTACGTCTAACTTAATGAAAACACGGTAGCGATTTCCTACATGGCACCGGATTTTTGCTTACGTGACTTTAAAAAATAATGGTATTTTTGTAAATATGTTTTTCATAATATAATAAAAGAGCACACTTAATATTGAAAAAATGATAATAATAAAAAAAAAAGATTTGTATGTTTCTAACTGATTGTCTTAAAATATGTATTTTTGAGTAAACTTTCATTTTTTAATTGAATGTTAAATTAAATTAAAAAAAAATCATTTTAACATCAAAGTGTACCTTTTCTAAACTGTAAAATTTAAATCTTTGCCTATACCACACCTCAAGATGATAGGCCCGGCACCACGTGAAAACCTCGTCAATACATGAAGTTCGAGAACTTTCGAACCCAGCTTTTTCCCTTCTTATTACTCCGGATTGGAATTTTCTAAAGCCGAGTGAGTGAGAGTACCATATTCAAATTTTTATTCAATTTAATATTATCACTCACTCTCCAACTCTTCTTATTTAAGCAACCTCGCCATGACCTACGTGGATACTACCTTCCTCCATTCTCACTCTCCCAACTGCCATAAACGAACTTTTAAACCATGTCAGCACCATAACATCAAATCACTTTTCAATTTCTAATCCCAATTCCCGAGATGGTTTTATTGGGTCACTGATCCAAGGATCGAATCACCAATAAAAGCACTTCCTTTTAGTTCTTTTTTACAAAATCGATGAATCCGTTCCCTCTCCACCCAGAAGGTTATCCTCCACCAGCGAGACCAGTTGGAGGGTTGCACGAAATGGGAGCGCCTCCGTTTCTGGTCAAGACATTTGAGATTGTGGAGGATCCGAACACAGACCACATCGTGTCTTGGAACAGAGGAGGCACTAGTTTTGTCGTCTGGGATTTGCATTCTTTCTCGACGTTTCTTCTCCCTCAACACTTTAAACACAGCAATTTCTCAAGTTTCATCAGACAACTCAACACTTATGTAAGTCTTTCTCTTTTGTCTATTTTCTGTGACCCAACAAAAAAAAAACAGCAATACTCTGTTTGCAAATTTGCAATGCTCTTTTTGCAAATGCTCTGTTTTTCTGTGTTAGTAATATTCATATTTTTTTGGTCAAAAGTAAAATTCATTTTTAACTGCAAAATGGGTTATTTCTAGAAACATCGAACAAAGTAGATTCTGTCTGATAGTGGGAGAAGAAGAAGTCTCTTCGTAAGTTCTAGAATCTTGGTTCGTGCCAACTTGGCTTTTAAAACTATTAGTGAGTTCTAGAATCTTGATTCTTGTCAACTTGGTTTAGTAAGTTCTAGAATCATGGTTCGTGTCTTATAAAATAGTATTTCAAGAAACACTCCTCGATCTTATCGCATTACTCGTTTTTTCTATTCAATAAGGATCCCCACTTGTTCAATTCTTTATAATATCTCCTCCCAGAATACACATTAGCTCTCCAGTAATTGTTGTTTGCTTATTTGCTTTTATTCATCCAACCATAAAGATATTTTAATTCAATTCTGGATATTTATGTAAAATATACAGGGTTTTAGAAAGATAGAAGCAGAGAGATGGGAGTTTGTAAACGAAAGCTTCCAACTGCGACAGAGGCATTTACTGAAGAGCATAAAGAGAAGAGCTTCCTTTATTTCATCGTCTCCATCGATTCAAGATCCTTCCATCGAGCTTCGTAAGGAGAAGCAACTGATGTTGACGGAGCTGGTGACCCTGAGACAGCAGCAAGAAACTACAAAAAGCTACGTTAAAGCCATGGAACATAGGATTGAAGGAGCAGAGAAGAAACAGAGACATATGATGTCGTTCTTGGGTAGAACAATGCAGAGCCCTTCGTTTCTGTATCAGCTACTCAAGCAAAGAGATATTAGACTTAAGGGGGTTGAGGCTGCGGAAAGAGGAAGGGGTTATTATTGGATCTCGGAACTGGAAGCTCTGGCTCTGGAGATGCAAGGCTATGGAAGGCAAAGGAATGTGAAGGAAGAAGAGGATATAGTGGTCGAGAGAGAGTTGGACGTTGGGTTCTGGGAAGAGTTGCTTAGTAACGAGAATTTGGCTTCTGCCTCTTCTAACTAAGATGCATCCTTTGGCTTTAATTGTTCTTTTGTAACCATCTTTTGTTCTCTTTTTTTTTTTTTTTTTTTTGACAACCTTTTGTTCTCTCTTTTGTTTTTTTTTTTTTTTTTCTCTCTTTTGTTTATTTCCAAGTTTTTAATATCAAGTAGCATTGTAACTACAGCACGTTGTAGTTCTTTTATATACGTAGATAAATATATGAAGAATATGTTTCAGTAATTCCAAAGTCGTTGACAAGGCTTTGAATGACGTCTCTTCTTACATGGACCTGCTTATGCGGTACAGTGATATCTCTCTCTCTGCTCTCACTCTTATCTAGATATGATAGTATCTGCTATGTTCTTTTTGCATTCTTTCCGGTAGGCTATATAGATTAAACCAAGTTTCCAAGGGTGAGCAATTATTAAAGAATCTTCCAATTCCGTGAATTTAAATATGGAATGGTTTTCTTTCATTTAAATCTTGGTTTACCGACTGCCTTGGAGACAACCAACTTGGAGACCAACCCCCTTGGAGACAACCAAGGGGCCCTTGGAAACAACCAACATCTGTGTTTATATTTTTATATTCAAATTATTAAAATTAAATAATGTCATATTTACAGATAATATAGTTATTATTGGATTTTTCTATTTCACTGAACTTTTTTAATGTTAACTACTAACATAACCTGACAAAAATAACTACTAACATAACCAATTTATTGATGTATTATATAAAATCCAAAATAACATCAACCCAAGTTTTATCCCCAAATTAGCATCTAAGACCAAAAGTCACAAAAATAAATTTCATTAATAAGATGATTTATGCTTATATCTCTTCTTTGACTAACTAAAAATAATAGATAAAATGGATGATTTATCCTTACGCCACTTTTTTGACTAATTTACTCTAAAACCCTAAACCATAAAACTTCAACTCTAAACCCTAAACTCAAAACCCTAAACTCTGAAATATTAATTCTAGAATCCTAAATCTTGAAACTTCAAATTTAAACCATAAGCCTTAAAACATCAATTCTAAACCCTAACCTTGAAACTTCAACTCTAATCCCTAGACCCTGAAATATCAACTTTAAAATCCTCAAACCTGAAACTTCAAATCTAAAGTCTAAACCCTGAAACATCAACTCTAAAACCCTAAACCCTGATGTTTTACCTTTAACTCCTGAAGCATCAACTCTAAAACCCTAAACCCTGAAACTTCAACTCTAAACCCTAAAACATCAACTCTAAAATCTTAAACTTTAAAACTTCAACTCTAAACCTTGAAACATCAACTCTAAAATCCTAACCCTGAAACTTCAAATCTAAACTCTAAACCCTGAAAATTCAACTCTAAACCCTAAAACTTCAACTCGAAACTCTAAAACTTTAACTCTAAACCCTAAACCTAAAAATCTAACTCTAAAACCCTAAACCCTGAAGCTTCATCTCTAAAACCTGAAACATCAGTTCTAGAACCCTAAATCTTAGCACTTCAACTTTAAACCCTAGACCCTAAAAAAACAATTCTAAACCTTGAAACTTTAACTCTAAAACTTAACCCTGAAATTTCAACTTTAAATCCTAAACACTGAAACATAACCTCTAAAACCCTACACCCTGAAACTTCAATTCTGAACCTTAAACCCTGAAACTTTCACTCTAAACCCTGAAACATCAACTCTAGAACTCTAAACTCTAAAAATTAAATCTAGAACCCTAAATCTTCAAACTTCAACTTTAAACCCTAACCTTGAAACTTCAACTCTAAACCCTGAAACATCAATTCTAGAACCTTAAACCTTGAAATTTCAACTCTAAACTCTAAACTCTGAAACTTCAACTATAAACCCTAAATCCTGAAACATGAAATTTAAACCCTAAATCTAAACCCTAAATCCTCAACTTTAACCGTTAATACCTAAACCCTATATTTTTCCGAAATTCAAATCCTAAACCCCAAATCCCTTAATATATTAATCTTCATGATAAGCTTCACGGTAATGTATTATAAGATTCGGAAAGCCTTGAGCGTGTTCAGGATGGACTTCCAGATAATATATTAATCTTCAGGATAATGTATTATAAAATTTGGAATTTCTTGAGCGTGTTCAGGATGGCCTTCCAGATAATATATTAATCTTCAGGATAATGCATTATAAAATTTGGAAAGCCTTGAGCGTGTTCAGGATAAGCTTCCAGATAATATATTAATCTTCAGGATAATGCATTATAAAATTTGGAAAGCCTTGAGCGTGTTCAGGATGGACTTCCTGATAATATATTGATTATGAAGATAATGTATTATAAAATTTAGAAAGCCTTGAGCGTGTTCAGGATGAGCTTCCAGATAATTTATTAATCTTCAAGATAATGTATTATAAATCTTTGAAAGCCTTGAGGGTGTTCAGGATGGGCTTCCTGATAATATATTAATCTTTAGTATAGGATTTAAGGTTTAAGGTTTAGAGTTTACGGTTTAGAGTTGATGTTTTAGGGTTTAAGGGTTCAAAGTTTAGTATATTAATCTTCAGGATAATGTATTCTAAAATTTGGAAAGCCTTGAGCGTGTTCAGGATGGGTTTAGGGTTGATTTTTTTTTAGGGTTCAAAGTTCGTGTATTAGGGGTTTGGGTTTAGGGTTGATTTTTTAGGCTTTAGGGTTTAGGTTTAGAGTTTAGGATTGAAGGTTTAGGTTTTAGGATTTAAGGTAAAAATTTTAGGGTTTAGAGTTGATGTTTTAGGGTTTATAGTTTAGTATATTAATCTTCAGGATAATGTATTCTAAAATTTTGAAAGCGTTGAGCGTGTTCATGATGGGCTTCCGGATTGAAGATAATGTATTATAAATTTGGAAAATCATGAGTGTGTTCAGGATGGACTTCCAAATAATATATTAATATTCAGGATAGACTTTAAGGTTTAAGGTTTAAGGTTTAGATTTTAGGGTTTAGAGTTGATGTTTTAGGGTCTTCGGTTTAGAGTTCATGTTTTAGGAGTTTGGGTTTAAAGTTGATTTTTTAGAGTTTAGGGTTTAGGTTAGAGTTTAGATTTATGATTTAAGGTAAATTTTTAGGGCTTGGGTTTAGGTTTAGGATTTAGAATTGTGGTTTAGTGTTTAGGTTTTAGGGTTTTGAGTTTACTTTTATGGTATTGGGTTTAGTGTTGATAGTAAGGTTTAGAGTTGAGGTTTTAAAGTTTAGGATCTAGAATTGAGGTTTAGGGTTTACGGTAAATTTTTTACTGTTAAATATTTAGAATTTATTTATAGGGTTTAAGGTTCAGTGTTGATGGTTCAGGGTTTAGAATTGAGGTTTAGAGTTTAGGGTTGATGTTTTAGGGTTTAGGGTTTAGAGTTTATTTTTAGGGTTTAGGATTTTAGTGTTGATGGTTTAGGGTTTAGAATTGTGGTTTAGGATTTATATTTTACTTCTATGGTTTAAGGTTTAGGGTTGATAGTAAAGTTTAGAGTTGAGGTTTTAGGGTTAAGGGTTTAGAATTGAAGTTTATGATTTAGAGTTTATGTTTTAGGGTTTAGAGTTGAAGATTTAGAGTTTAGGGTAATTTTATAGGGTTAAGGGTTTTGAGTTTATTTTTAGGGTTTAGAGTTCTGTGTTGATGATTTTGGGTTTAGAATTCAGGCTTATGGTTTAGAATTGAGGTTTAGGGTTTAGGGTTCATGTTTTAGGGTTTATATTTGAATGTTTACGGTTTAAAATTAGAATTGTGATTTAGAGCTTAGGTTTTAGGGTTTATAGTTTATTTCTATGGTTTAGGGGTGAGTGTTTATAGTAAGGTTTAGAGTTGAGGATTTAGGGTTTAGAATTGAGGTTTAGGATCTAAGGTAATTATTTTATTGTTAAAGATTGAGATTTTTTTAGGGTTTAGATTTCATTGTTGATGGTTTAGGATTTAGAAATGTTTAGGATTTATGATTGATGTTTTAGGGTTTAGGGTTGAAGGTGTAGAGTTAGTATTTTTAGGGTTTAGGGTTTAGTGTTGATAGTAAGAGAGTTGAGGTTTTAGGGGTTACGATTCTTTTTTATATTGATATGTAGGGTGTTACTTTTGTGATAAAAACTAAAAAATGTGCTATTTTGGAGAATTTCTCCCTATTTGTTATTGTGCTAAAAATTATTTATGGTTTTAATATTTACTATTGGTTTCATTTTTAAATAAATAATTATTTGTTGTGTTATAAAGAGATTATTTAATACTTGAAAATATTGGATCTAGATATTGAAAAATGAAGATGTGAAAGATATTATAAATTTTTAAAAATTTATGGTGACCGCTATTTACTTTTTCAATTTGTTGAAATGAATCTTTGCTTCTTTAATAAAAAAAAACTTATTTTATTTATAGATTTGTGTCTCTTTCTACGTACGTTTTTTATTTTATTTTGGTTAAAATATTTACTATAAATAAAAAGAGAATATTAAATTTGTGATAGTGTCCACATTAGATTTTAAAATCATCCAATATGATTGTTCCTTTTTACCACGTCAGCTGAATTACAGATTGATCCCTCAATTTTTGATTTCTTTCACTCTGACCTTTAAAGCTGAAATAATGCAGAATGATCCTTGATTTTCGCTCAAACTTCTCAATTGTGCATCTTAGACCCTGTTATAAATAAAAAAGGATATCAAGCCTTGTGAGGATGTCCACATCGGATTGAAAAATTATTCAATAGGGTTGTCCATTTTTGTCACGTCCGTGAAATTGCAGATTGATCACTCGGTTTTTGATCTTTTTCACTCTGACCCTAAAAGCTGAAATGATGCAGAAGGACTCTTGATTTTTGCCCAAACTTTAATTGTGCATCTTAAACTCTCTCAAATGCAATTATATATGCAAATGATATAAAAACATAAATGCAACCTAGAATGATCATAATAAACTAAAATATGAATTTAAAACTCATCAAAATAAAAAGATATCACCGGATTTTTGTACAGTAATATATTTTATAATTTTAAACAATTTTGTATTTTGTAAATAAAATATTTAGCAGGCATATGGAGATATTGTACTGTATTTCAGTTTATGTATCATTGTTTTTTAAAATATTTAACATTTTCCTCACAATATACATTTTAATTATTTTATTCTGTAGTAATGTATTTATATGGTTAACACAAAGAAATCAAAACCGTTTACTGCTGCTGACACACTATAAAGGAGAAGAAATAAAATATATATATTTTCTAATCATTAGTATGTATAATCATTTAGTTTTATTTTTTTTTCATTTTCATTGTGGAAAAATTGGTTTACATACGTTTAAAAAATATTAGTTACGTCAATTAAATGATGATATGATATTATGAAACTGAATTTATAGAGATAATGTAACTTAGTTTAAGAAATATTTGTGCCAAAAAAAGAAAAAAAAGTGATAAACAAATTGAGACCAAATGCTCAAATATAAAACATGAACAAATCGTGAAAGATAAAATTTCAAGAGATAACACGAGGTTTTGTACAGTAATATATTTTATAATTTTAAAAAAATTTGGTAAATAAAATATTTAGCAGACATGTGAAGATATTTTACTGTATTTCTGTTTATGTATCATTGTCTTTGAAAATATTAAACATTTTCCTCACAATAGACATTTTAATTATTTTATTCCCGTAGTAATGTATTTATATGGTTAACATAAAGAAATCAAAACCGTTTACTGCTGCTGACACACTATAAAGAAAGTGAAATAAAATAATATATATTTTTTAGTCATTGGTATAATCATTTAGTTTTATTTTTTTCTTTTCACATTGGGGAAGATTGGTTTATTGACGTTTAAAAAATATTTGTTACGTCAATTAAATGATATGAGATTATGAAACTGAATTTATAGAGCTGATGTAACTTAGTTTAAGAATATTTGTGCCAAAAAGGGAAAAAAAGTGACAAACTAATTGAGAACAAATGCTCAAATATAAAAGCATGAACAAATTGTGGAAGATAAAATTTTAAGCACGCACGTGTTTGTTAATTTTGAATATTTTTTATTTATTTAATAATACTGAGTATACTAGCAGATTTTTTTGTTATTCTATTAATATTTTAATTTGTGTCTATCAACTTATTTATTTGTTTTTTTTATAATCCAAATAGAATTACATATAGATCCCCTAAGATAAAACCTCTTATTTATATTCCAAAAAATTCGATAGCCAACAAGAAAGATAAAGCCTCTTATTTATATTCCACTAATGCTCTGCTCTGTAACTGCCATCTCAGATTCTATTTCTTTCTTCACTTGCTAACTCACCAATAGCTCAATAATAGCACATATCTTGATCAAAATTTGAAATACTAAATATAACTAAAAGATTAAAATTTTTAACTGATGACCTTTTTTGAGTGATAAATGACTTATTCTCTCCCATGTATATTAACATATTGACATACTATAATTTTATATCATTACATGAAGAGACATATTCCAAGTCAAATGTTGAATCCAAGATATTAACTTAATTTACATAGTAGTAACGATTTCTGATAATAATTTGTTTTATAGTTTTTGTAAATTAAGTTAATGTTGTTGAATTATATATGAGAATAATGTTATTAGGTCAGGATACAAATTAAAACTGCAAACATATTTAGAATATCTCTTAAACATTAAGCATGTTTATTTTCTCTTATTATTGTAAACGGTAATGATAAAAGTTAAAGATCAAACATAAGATATTTCTAATAATATTGTGATGTCTCAATGTTAATAACAAGGGAAGTTAATGTTTGTACATAAATTGTAAACTCATTTTAGAATACAAAATATATGGTAAAGTTACTTCTACGGTTCTACGAAGATGGTAATTTTAAATTTTACATTTGCTTCGCAAAGATAATCGTTTTATGTTTTGAATGTAAGATTATAAATTATTTACCCATTTTACCCATATTGATTAAAATAATTATATAATAATTTATTTTCGAAAATTATAGATAATGTAGGTAAAACTTTTTTGATAGCATAATTATATCACTAAATTATGTGAAATTTTTTAAAAAAATTACAGTTTTGTGAAAATAATGTTTACATGGTATAAAGTAAAAAAAAAACTAAGTTAGTTATACTCCAAAATTATTGAAAAGATAGAAAACAGAAATTATAAACTAATGAAATTATTAAAAAAATTAATACAAGCAAACAAAACCATTTACATAATAAACATAAATTAAATTAAAATAGCGCGGTAAAAAGATCTAGTATTAATAATTTTTTTTTTTTGAATCAAATACTTATATATAAAATCTGCCGATGAATCGGGAATCAGATACGGTTACAAGCTTGTTTTGAACAAAATGTCGATATCAAACTATTACAAGACTAGCTTCGCCCACTCACTAAACCCAGCACGTTCCGCTAATTTGTTTTTTGAAATCCTTCGATATCGGTAGCCGTTCTCAACCATCAACGTGATTCTCGGGAAAGTGAGGTTCTCCTCGTTACCTCGGATGCCGGGAATTCCCTTGACGTCTCTGGAGTACCTAGTTCCCGATGATCTCCACAAGCTTATAACTTTCTCTGTCTATGAAGCTCAAGATGACCGAAGGGGAGGTTTCAAAAAAACTTACCAAGGCCTTGTAAAGCCACCAAAGCCGGAATGAAAGTAACGCCACACAACGCTTGAACCGCATCCTTAAACGAGCAAGCGCTCGCTTCTGCCATCTAACGGACCTGCATAAAATCGGGTTGAAACCATCACCACCTCTCGAACAGTAGCCTCATTACCTATGCAAGAAAGTCTGCAACACCACCGCAGATTGGAACAAGACCAAGACCACGGAGTCGGGATGTGAGCTAGGACTAGATGCTGACTCTGAGACGACTAATGACTCCCCGAGAGAGCCGTCTCCGCATCCACAGTCTTTGAGAACTAATGAAATAATTTCTTGACCACGAAACAATCAATCCCCAGAGCCAACAGAGAGTGATACCACAAAGAAGAGCGAGACTAATCCTGAAGATAGGCCGTCGCCTACACACGGAGTGAACTGAACGAGAGGTCGGGAGAGAGAGCTTGAAAGAGTTGCGGAACAACTAGGAAAGCCCTTGTGGCCATAGGCGACCAGTCGAGACCAAACCAGAGGCACACACACGAGGAGCAAAACCAGACACTTCCACCACGGTCACATCCAGCTTCAACCCTCGCCTCCAAAGCCACAAGAGCCCCGGAGCACTCCTGATTACGGTGGGCAAGTACCGGAATCTCTCCGACCCGAAGAGACCCTAAATAGCTACCACCATAACCGAAACAAGCACAAAGCTACAGATCCGGAGCAACATAGCACCACCGAACCAGCCTTGACACGAACCCTCGCTATCTCCCCACGACGACAGAAATCCGGAGCGTTCCAAAGATGGAAAGATAGAGCCGCTCCATAAACCCTAAAAGCCGACTCAGAACCGCCCCACCTCGCCCATCCCTCGCCGTTAGTCCGGAGAAGGAACCACTTCCACCAAGTGTAGACTCCTCGCGACTGGAGCTTCCACCGGAGACGCGAGCTCCAACCTAGAAGAACGCACATATCGGGACTGGTACGTGTATGTGCTTAGCGTCTGGCTTTCATTAGTTTATAATTTCTAGTAAGCTTACTATCAAGGAAAGCCAGACGCTAAGCACATACACGTACCACAAGGCGCCACAACAATTGATCAAGTGTCACTTGTGCTGTTCTGAGAAGACCATCTAGTCATCAGGAAAAAAGGTGGCTAGTGAGAGTGTACTGAGTGTCTGGGAAAAGTCAGGCCGGACCAATTAGTCGTTGGTCTTTATCGTCAGAAATATATAAAGTTGTTTTTAGCTATACTATTTTCTGTTTACTGATTAAAAAAACATTTTCCAAATCGGATACTATTTTGATCATCCAGCTTAGAATTATTTAATATAATTTGCTAATTATCGGTTTGAGACAAGATAACAGATGCCCAGATGGACCAAGTGCCACATCAACATGAAAGAAAAACAGTTAAAACCAATCATCAAATAGTCACTTCATTAACGTTGTCAATTTTTATATTCTTAAATTCATAAGACGATGGGCACCACGTGAAAAGCTCAGGTCATAAAGTACAGTCGTCAATATATGAATGAAGTTCGAGAAGTTTCGAAGCCAACTCTTTTCTCTTCTCATTGTTCCGGAACTTTCGAATTTTCTAAAGTCGAGTGAGTGAGAGAGTACTATATTCATATTTTAATCAATTTTATATTATCACTCAGTTTCCCACTCTTTTATTTAAGCCACCTCGCCATGGCCTACGTGGATATTATCTTCCTCTCTTCTCCCTTCCCAACTGCCATAAACGAACTCTCAAACCATGTCAGCAATCACTTTCATCATTCAATTTCAAATCTCAGTTTCCGAGATGGTTTCGTTATCATTGGGCCACTGATTCCAGACCGAATCACAAATAAAAATCATTTCTTTTTAGTTCTTTTTGACATAATCGATGAATCCATTTCTCCACCCAGAAGATGATGATCAGCTACCACCACCACAACAACCACTACCAAAACCAATTGAAGGGTTGCACGAAATCGGACCGCCTCCGTTTCTAATCAAGACATTCGAGATTGTGGAGGATCCAAATACAGACCACATTGTATCTTGGAACAGAGGAGGCACTAGTTTTGTCGTCTGGGATTTGCATTCTTTCTCCACTTTTCTTCTCCCACGTCACTTCAAACACAGCAATTTCTCAAGTTTCATCAGACAACTCAACACTTATGTAAGTCTTTTTCCCTATGTCTTTTTTCTTCTTTCTTTTGTCTATGTTGAAAAAAAAACAGAGCAATGCTCTGTTTTTCTCACTTAGTGAATTTCATTTTTTACCGCATATCGGTTATTTCTAGAAACATCTAAATGTAGATTCTGTGTGATAGTGGGAAGAGAAGAAGCTCTTTAGTAAGTTCTAGAATCTTGATTCGTCCCATCTTGGCTTCTTAATCAATTAGTAAGTTCTAGAATCTTGGGATCGTGCCAACTTGGTTCTTAAAATAATCAAAAGAGAGTCATCACTCTTATCACAATATATATTTTATATAGACTAAGGTTGCCCACTTGTTTCATTCTTTATAATATCTTCTGATAGTACACATCTCTCTCCAATAATTGTTGTTTGTTTAATCACTTTTGAAACCTTATAGATATTTTCAAATTCAATTTTGAAAATTATTTATAGGGTTTTAGAAAGATAGAAGCAGAGAGATGGGAGTTTGCAAACGAAGGGTTCCTGTTGGGTCAAAAAGAGTTACTGAAGAGCATCAAGAGAAGAGCTTCCTTCGCTTCCTCTTCTACATCGATTCAAGATCCTTGCGTCGAGCTTCGTAAGGAGAAGCAACTACTGTTGATGGAGCTGGTGACCTTGAGACAGCAGCAACAAACCACGCAAAGCTACATCAAAGCCATGGAACAGAGGATTGAAGGAGCAGAGAAGAAACAGAGACAGATGATGTCTTTCTTGGCAAGAGCGATGCAGAGCCCTTCTTTTCTTAATAAGCTATTTATGCAGAGAGATATGAAACTTAAGGAGGTTGAGGATAAGGCAGCAGAGAGGACAAGAGGTTCTTCCATGTCGGAACTGGAAGCTCTGGCTCTGGAGATGCAAGGCTATGGAAAACAGAGGAGTCTGAATGAAGAAGATGATATGGTGGTTGAGAGAGAGTTGGACGATGGTTTCTGGGAAGAGTTGCTTAGTAACGAGAGTTTGGCTTCTACCTCCTCTAACTAAGTTGGATCCTTTTGGCTTTTAGTTGTGTGTTTAAAGCTCTTTTTATTTTAAATTTTGCAAACTCTTTTCTTGTTGTTTTCCTCTCTTGTTTATTTCCAAGCTTTTCTTATCAAAAAGTAGTAGTGTGAACTACAAAAAAACGTTGTAATTCTTTTCTGAATGTAGATAAATATATGAAAATATGTTTGTCATAAAATCCACAGCCCATGACAAGGCTCTGAATATGCTCTTGTACTCTTGATATATTTCTCTCTTGTTACATGAACCTATTAATGTGGTTTAGTGCTCTCTCTCTGCTTTCACTCTTTCGTGACAAGGCTCTGAATATGCTCTTGTACTCTTGTAATATTTTGCATTCTTTTCCATAAGATTTGCCCTATTTTGTTCAAGTAAACAGGTTTTCCAGGCTGAGCAATCATGACGAATCTTCCAAGTCTATGAATCTAAACCTGGAACCCTGTTCTTTCGTTGGAATTATGGTTTTTGCAGCTTGCCAACTGCCTCCAGGGAGTGCCCACCTCCTCCATGGAGACTCTAAACATAATGCATTAATGTCTCTCCCTCATTAATTATTTGAGTTAAAATTCCATAAAACTTTAGACATAGCTCTTTGACGCAGTACATACAATCTTTTGCTTGAGACAGATATTGCAATCACTTAGAGAATAGGGAGACATTAGTGCATTAACTATATATATCTTATGAGAGATTGCGAAGATGCATGTTAGGGTGATCTACTGATCCTAGATTTTTTCTTTTGTTATTGGATGATGATTCATAACTGCATTCATTTGTGTATAATGTGATAATAACCAAAAACAAAGTGATAATAATCTGTCCAGAAAGGTATTACAACATCGCAGTCCCGAAGGCAAAAAGGCTGAATAGTTTAGGGTGAAGCATCATCGAAAGGGTAGTCGTACATACAGATGTTGATTTCGAAGGAGAAACATAAACCCTACCTTTGAGTTACATGAACATATGACCCAGCTTAAACTAACAACTAACAAGACATCCTCAGAACTATGGATATTAGGAACTACTTAAATGAGACTTGACATTGATAATCATCTCTTATATAGGCCTTGAGTTATTTTTTTTTTTGTAGTTTGAGTTGTATCCACATGAGTTATCTCTTTCTCTATTTCATCTACCCAACCATCACCCGAACGCTTCACGTCCAAAATTCTTCGATTCGTCTCACCTGCTCTACTTGTTTGCCAACCGTTTACATTTGCCCCATAATCTTTGGGAGCTGTATTGTCAGATACAAAGCTTATTTTCTATGGAATATAACTCTTTGACTCCCTATGATACTGACTGTATCTTGTACTCCATCACTGCCCCAACTGGCAACATCTATCCTCCCATACCATACAAGAGGCAAGAGCAACCCGAGGATTGTCGAGCATTTCATATCTTTGGCTGGGACATTTTCAGAGCCTTTGGCCTTCTTATTTTGATATCCTGACTTATCCCATCCATTGCCTCCTTCCTGGCCCAAGATCTCCAAACTGTTACTACCCTTATCTTTAGTTTTCCACTTTGTCTCCTTAGTCGTCAAGCAGGCCCAAAAGATCGTATCATTTGCTTTCTCCCTTCAAAAACTATGTTTTGCTTCCCAAGTCCCCAACCTATCTTTTGGATGATCAGTACTAGCTTCTGATATGTTCTAGCCATTTGACGCTTCCCTAAAACATTAACATCATGGACTTTCTCACTTCCTTACACATGGAATTTTGTACATACTAGTCTCTTTAATGGGGACAAGTTTACACCTACTCCAATTAAAAATATAATAGTCTACGCATAGCTTATCAATACTCTCACGTTTACAAAATGAACCGTTACTTTAACTTTTATTTTTGTCAAAGTAAAATCAATTACTATTGTTAGAAAACAAACAATCTAACGCAATTGAACAAAAATTTTTGTGTACTGAACTGGAAAGAGAGAGAGAGAGAGAATTTCCTCTACCTCCTCTCTAAAACTTCTCAGCCGTGAATAAGAGTTTCCGGCTGACGGTGTGGGCTTCCACAGCCACCGTCGGTTCGGTTCTGTGTTTTTGTATTTTTGTGTGTTTGTTGTTTTTGTTTTTGTTTTTTTTTGTTTTCTGTGCATGTGTTCATGAGGGGGGAAGAGGGATCGATGTCTCTCCTCTGTTTGTGTTTTACTTGGGCGGCTTTCTTGACTCCGGGATGTGGAGGCTTCCAAAGCTCTGTCGTCGCCGGCTTATGTCTCCGGGTGTGGAGGATTTCAAAGCCTTGCCTCACCAGCTCTCTGTTTTTGACTTTTTCTAGACTGTGGGTTATCTTCCTGTGTTGATTTAGGGTTTGTTGGATGAGATCTCGAATAGATCAATTGAAGCTCTCGGATATGAATTTAAAGTGATGAAGATAACGAGTTGAGATCGTGTGCTTTGTAGCTTAGTGGACCTGGATGAGATCTCGATGATGTTCGATGGACACTCTCCTTAAAGTGTTAAGACTTCTTAACCCCAAAGGCGTCGACTTTCCTCTAGAGAAGACCCAACAAACCACGAACAGAGATAAAATCGCAAAACAGAGGACTGAAGAAAACAGAGTACTATGAAGAATCAGAGTAAAACAGAACACGGAAACAAGAAAAGGGGAGCACACAAGAGAGTTGGTAACCCAGTTACACCCGTTAACGAGGGTGTTAGTCTGGGCCGAGTCATTGACTCGGAATCCACTAGATTCAGATAGAGATTACAACAAGAAAGATAAGTGACCCGCCTCAATGCCCTTCACTAGCACTTGAGACTCACTCTAACGTTTCTTTTGTCCAAGAGAAAACAAGATAATGAGTTTATGCTATTACAAGTTTTCTCTCCTCTCTCTCTCTCTATTACACTGTACTACTCTCTCTCTCAGCATTTCCTTTCCTTTATAGTGAAACTTGGAAACGCTTGCTTCATGACCTAACGCAGACGCTTTCTTTTTGGACGCTTTGACAGCTCACTGATTGCGTTTGCAGAGTGTAGAAAAAACACATCTTGTTCTTTTGAATTCCACATGAGGACAACTTGTACGAACGCTGAACCAGCAGTGTAGCCGTTTCCTCCTGTTGTGGTCCAAAAGCATTCTCAACCATAGTACAGTTTACGTCGACCATGGTTAAGACATAACTTGAGATCTTTGAATTTTTTGTCTACTGAAGTAACTTGGTCATCACGGTTTCACCATCACATGAAGAAGCTAAGCCGTGGAAGGTGCATGGGGTGCTCCGGTGTGAATCCGGCGAAACACCAGTCTGGATGGGGTTTAGTGACACGTGCCTGCTTTGGTGTTGAGGCATTAACACGTGTTTTTGACGTGTAGGTTTGTTGGCTCGGCGTGTGTTTGGGCTTTTCCATTTGGGCTATTAGTTTAAGTGTCGTTTATGGATTTTATTTTTACTGTATTATATTGTTGTTGGGTTTGGTTCAGTTGGACCTCGACCCATTAATAAAACTAGCAGATGACAAAAATAAATTTGTCACCACAACAACAATGAATATATTTGCACATGTATTCGTTTTTACATTGACTATAGCTATTAAATAAATATAAAAATAGATTAATCTGCGCTTGTTGAATAAATGGTGTAAAGAAAATTCATAATTCAATTTCCAGTACAAATCAGTAAAATGACTTGGCCTTCCATGGTCGATTCGTTCATAATATTGTATTGTAAGGGTTATGTCTCTAGGATCTTATTTTCAACCTTATAACACTTCTCTTACAATCACTAGAGTAAAAAAAACCGAATAACTAACAACAATTTAAGAAATTGTAATGAAAATTCTTAAAACAAAACCCAAATAGATGGCTTTATCCTAATTCCTACTTCTGCACCTCCTCAATCATACCTGCAAAAAGGAAAGATGAGTAATTGGGACTACTCAGTGAGGATAGGTTCTAGGAACCCACGAACTCATCTCAGATTACATGGCACATCAAGCACGGATCATATGTTAATATTTCCAAACATTCATGTAACAAGATTCCATAGACTCTCTAATCCACGTGTGCCCCAAGTCAACTGCCTGGAAACCTCATGGTCTTACCCGGCTTCACAATTCTCTGCCTAACCGGCACTCGCAAAACTGACACTCACCAAACCGACACTCGTCAAACCGGTACTTCGTCACACTACGATACATCGACGACGTCAGAACACCCTAATCTTATCATCTTTCAATCTTAACCATATTCCTTCTTATCATCATTCATCCTTATCATCATTCAGTGTTATCAACAACCTACCATGTTCTAGATTAGCTTACTCACATCAACAATCAACATGCTTTTCATCACATCAATACAAACTAAAAACTAGATCTAGGTCAAGATTAACAAAGGACTAACTCCCGAGGTATTATACAACATGAGATAAGTTCATGACCAGATCTTCACTTTAGTCTTTCTCGATGTCACAGATCCAGAAGAAGAAGAACACAACAACGCAACCACATATCTGTACTTTCACACTCAAGGGAAAATAGATTAGGAACCAGATCTATCACACCCAGTGACAAACAGTTGAAAGGATGGAGAGGGAGAAGTAAATCAGAGGTTTACCATACAGATCTGATTACAACACATGACATGAGAAACAGAGGACGTAGACAACTATGGTGGCTGAGACTCGCCGGCGGTGGTGGTGGTCGTCGAAGTTGGCGACTAGGGTTAGGGTCTCTCGGAATTTCTACAGGGCTTCACTATGTTTCTCTCTGATGTGAAAAGAGAAGGAGGTTGTCCTATTTATAAGAAATAAAAGGAAAATCCCAGTTTTTTTGTTTTGTTTTTGGACCTTTAGCAAGTGGGCTCCTCTTTAAAAATACAAAAAGTTATGGGCCGAATTTACGGATGTTACAATTCTCCACCACTTTCTTAAAATTCATCCCCAAATTCTACGTCTCGTACCTTCCAAATAAAACATCTCAAACATGGACAGATCCATTGTTTCCCATAAAAAACTTGGCACTTGCAGTTCACTGATTCCTATAAACAACTCGGTTGTTGATCTTCCTAAAGATCCAAATATCCTCTTAGATCCTATCCATTTCCCATTAAACTACGATCATCCATGTCTTTGTCCCATTAACTACAGCTTCCTTGTGGTTTACAAACTTAAAACGTCCGCTAACCATTAATACACTATGACACATCTAATGATGGCTTTTAAATAGTTAGCTCATGTGCTATGAAAAC